TCCATCCGGCTTTTTGGATTTCCTGATTAAAGGATGCTGGGAAGAATTGTGCCCGACAGATTCCCTTTAAAGGCCACCCTGTCACTAAAATCAAAATGCTAAAAAATATGCCCCCAGTAAAGAATACTCACCTTTCTGCTGCCCGCGCCACTTATCACTTTATTGCAGAGAAATCTGAAGAATCCGACACTTCCAGGAGTGTGCAATTCCTTGTGCCTACCCATAAGTTGTGTTTCTCTTAACTGGTTGCTATTTCACTGCTGTGTCCTGTACTGACATAGTGGCTGGAAGGAACCAGGAGTTAGGCACTCCCGGAACTGACAGATTCAGAAGATTCTTCAAGTGGCAGCTTCTCTGCAATATGCAGGGTGCACATTTTTGACCATTTAGATTGCTTTACTCCATGCCATGGTAATCAGCCTCCAGGGTAAGAGGTTCACTAGACATTCTTATTATAGTTTTGATGAAAGCGATGAAGAGAATGCTTGGAATCACCAGTTAGGGGATTTATGAGCTGGAACAATAGAACAAGATAAATGCATATTTAGTGACAAAAGATTCCACCTCACATGTTTTCTGTCAGTATAATATAAGTAATATACAACGTACCATCGTCCAATGTAAAGGAGACATTTTTCCCTAATGTGTAAGGGAGAAAAACTAAATCTTAGTGTTTAGGATCCCTGGGCTGTCAGAAGCAGCTCTGGGAAAGGCTAGATCTTGTGCTGCAATCACCAAGAGCACAGAACAAGAGCTGAATGACAAAGCATGCTGGTGCCTGTTTACACCAGAACTAAGAGCGTTGAACGCGCTACAAAACGTTCAGGTGTGAACCAGGCCTTAAGATATTTCTGATTAAGTTTATATTCAGAAAAATCTTGACGATTGTAAACTTACTTTTTTTTTTTTAAATCCCACACCTTTACATTCTTTAATGCTGTAACACAAATTCACTAGGCCCTGTCAATATGTACTGCTGTGCCACCCATCCCGCAGGGCTTTCTGTCTGAACTACAGAGGTTCTGAACAGGAGGAGTTTCAGAAGGTATAGTCAGTACAGGAGCTTAAGCATACAGGAAAGCCAGGAAGTTGTTAAAAGATGGCCAGCAGAAAGGCAGCACTCACAATATGAAAGGAGAATTTTTAAATAAGCTTATACTGAATTGTTAAAAAAACAAACAAAAACCATAGTTTGTATTGCTATTACGAGGCTAGTGTAAAAAGAAAGTGTACACTTTGACTTTAGCTCTCCTTAAAGGAGAACTATGGGGTTAAGGCTTTTCCCCATAGTTCTCCTTAGGGTAACGGGAGGACACAAACTAGCATCCTTCCGTCACCCTAGGCTCAGTATACCGCGAGCTGTAGTTCGAGGTATACTGAGACCCCGCAGCTGAAGCAGATTCCGACAATTATGTCTGGATCCGCCCAGCTGCATGAGTGACAGCGGGCTCTGCCTATCTAGAGGCAGAGCCAGCTGTACCCACTCCCTCCCCCGTCCGTTCCACCAGTCAGCGCTGGCGGATCGGAGCGGGGAGAGGGGAATCCAGCCCCTCCCCTGTCACGGCAGAGAGCCGTGACAGGATCGAGAAGTGAGCGAACACCGGTATGTGTTCGCTCACCTCCGGATCTACTAAGCCGACTTGTGACAGTCTCATTGTCACAGGTCGTCTAGAACTATGAGGTGAGTGAAAAGCACTCACCTCATAGTTCTCCTTTAAAAGCAATAAGTTAAAAATGGTGAAATATTATTTATACTAGGGTTGCACAGATACCAAGTACAGTACTCGGTACAAGTACGAGTACATGTACCGATACCTTTGACCTCCAAGACTACACTAGAAAAAAATTCAAAAATTAGGAGGCAGCTGTTATTTGCAAGGAGCACACGGAGCTCCTGGGATTTGTACATCTCCGTTTTAATGTACGATTTTGTTTTTATAAATATAAATAAAGGGATGCACCGATACCAGTTTTGCGAGTACGAGTACTGGTACTTGCCGAGTACTTACAAGTACTGGTACATTTTTGTTTATTGTCATGTGACAGTTTTTCTAAAACAATACAGACTAATGATTTCAGGACAGTGGTGGAGCACCAGAGCCAGGTCCCAACTGCAACCTCTGCAACCCTGGTAGTTCTCATGAAAATGCCAAGTAGCGGCACTGGTACTCGAAAAGTATCTGTGCATCCCTAGTTTATACCATATGGTCTCATTATGTTCAGCTGCTAGATCAATGGCCAAGTAATTATTCCACACAACCTTTCTATAGAATGTAATTTATAATCTTAGTATTTCTACAAACTATTCCGAAACAAGAATCCAAGTATTAAAACCCAAATGCCATCTCTGTCCCCATCCGAGACATATTC